ATTATATTTAAAACATTCAAATGTATTTTCATTTAAAATGTACATTTTAATTAAAATATATATTCAATAATTAATTGTGTGCGTGTAATTAAAAATTATAATTTTGATTAAATATATATATATATATATTTAAGTTAAAATTAGAAATAGAAATAAATATATATTTTGTATATTTAATTTAGAATTAAAATGTTGCTTAAAATATACATTAAATATATAATTAAAAATCAAATTTTACTAATTTAAGTAAAATAAATGTATTTAGTAGAAATATACTAAATTAATTATATATATATATAAATTGTCTTTAAGAAAGCTTTACAGAGAAATCTTATTGGTCCCAAAATAAGCTTCTTTATGCAGATTATCATTTATTTATATTTCTTTATTTATATATTTTAAATGTTTTGCCACTTGCTTGAGCAACTTAATATATAAATCTAGAAGTAAATGCAAAAGTAAAAAGCATTGAATGATGTGTTGCTTATATTTATTGTGTTTAAACATGTCTGAAAGATTGTATTACTGTGTAAAAAAAGAATTGCAATGCTGAAAAAGCATTTCCAGTGACAATGTTTGGATTTGAAATAAAAATAATGGCATGATTATAATGTTGGAATAAATGTCGTGTTTGTGGTAAACAGCCGTGGATCAGTAGCGGACTGCTGTGTGAAAGCTGCTTCTCCTCTCACAAGAGACACCTAGAGGGGAATTCCCCCCATTTTCAAAAATGAAATTCAGGCCCTGAATAAAACGTCTAAAAATCCTGATTGAAGTATCACTATAAATCGTTATAAATGATAAAAAGGCTTTAAAAAGATCGGTATCGTCAGATACTGCTTTCTGTGATCGGCCTCAAAAATCATGATCGGAGCACCCCTAATTATAATAGTAAGTACATGCAGCATGTGTAACAAGGACACCTTAAAAAAAAGTATTACCTAATTATTTTATTAAATAATATCAAAATATTTACGTTAATTTGGATCATTTTAAGCATAAAGAAACATGTTAAATAAAAAAATATATATATAAAAAAACCCCAAAAATGTCAAAAAGTGTATGTCTTTAATCCTTCACTGGTGAATCTATGAATCATTTAGTTCAGAACCAATAAAGAAAACAAAGATATGATTTGAACACATGAACCTAAAGACAGACAGACAAGAATGACGCCATTACGATTCAAACAGCTGTGATTTATGTATGTATGAGGCAGGTAAACATGCAGAAAACGAACAAACGAAAGAAAAAATCAAACTAAATCAAAGTGCAAACTAAAGCAAGGCAGATGAGTTTCTCTCACGTCAGAACAGAAATCAGGCGCAGGCGTCTGGCTTACATCAGATCGCTCTTCTCCATGTCCCAGGCTCTCCTCCACTGGCCTTTGGCGTTCTTGTGTCGGGCCACGCGCTCGCGGTCGATCTCCTCGCGCTCCTTCTTCCATCGCAGGTACTCCAGCTGCTCTTCTTGGGATGAGACGAGGTTCAGGTCAGCCATGGCCTCTGTGACCTACAAGAGCGGCAAATACAGAGCGTGTCTGTCTATGGAAAGCATGGACCTAATTTGATATGCAGTTGTGGTTAAATACTGTAAAGTTTGGTTGAACGCAAACATATGAGATGGAATGATGTTTACGTCCCTCC